TGCTTGGGGTTCCTGACAATTCTACTGGTGGGGAAGAGAGGGTTATCAAGTCAACAAGACTGTCAGATGGAAGCAGAAACTCAGTGAAATTTATGCTGACTGTTTCTGACTGTAAGACACTTTGGTCATACAAAGACAATAGTGTTAAGTCAGGAGTGCTTGGTGCCAGTGTCACACTACTCATGTTGAGGAGTAGACTTGGAGTTTCTGTAACAGAGCGAGTTGCAGTGAGGTCCAGGACTGAGGGGGTGAAAGTTGGCATCTCTGAAAAGCCCAGAAAGCTAGCAGTGTCTGACACTGAATCTATTACATCTAGTGTTGTCAAAATGTCAATGTCAAAACTTGGGGTTGGCATGCCTACACCTGACTCTGACAGAGTAGGCAAGACAGAAAAGATTTCAGAAATGGACGGCTGAATTGTTTGAGTTGGAAGGAAAGCAGATGCGTTCAAAACAATGGTCATCTGCAATGGTGAACTTGTCATTTGTAAAGTTTCAGTCAATGACAGCGTCTCTAAACTTGGTTGAAATGTGAAGTTTTGGAGACTGGGCATAAAAGTCGATTGCACAGACGTAGTAGGTTGTGCACTGACAAATGGCAATGCCCCTGAACTTGGAAATGCTGTCATACTTTCAACACTGAGTGAAGAGAGCAACCTCACTGTTTCTGAGGGGGTGATTGCTTCAGAACTTGGGAGGGCACTAGGTGTAGAGGTCATCTGTAAGCTCTCTGAGGAAAGCAAGTCTAGTGAAAGAGTCTCTGGGAAGCTTTCTGACACAGTTTCCGTCTGTAGGTTTATGGGCTTGGACACTTCCTGGGTCACTGTGGCAGTAGGGACTGCAGAGGAGCTGCGTAAGCTTGATGCAGGGAGTGCCGGGGATTGCAAAGCACTTGGAGCTGGTAGGCTGTCCAGGAGCTGTAACAGTGGGGAAGAAATGTCCGGAACTGTTAACAAAGTTGAAGTAGCCAATATTGTCCTTGATACAGATGATGAATATACTGGGTAAAAACTAACATCTGGTATGGCGATTATAGACAGGGACTCATCTAGACTTACTTTTGAGATGGACTGTAATGTAGGTGATGACGAAATAGAGTCAGAAGGAAACACTTCGATGGAAGGTAAGCTCAGTGTTTCAAGGAATGCTGGATAGGTCTCTGTCTCTGAGATGAGGGTGCCTGAAGTAGAGAGGCTGACAGACTGAAGTAATGGTATCTCTGCAGGCATTGTTCTTGTTGGAGACAATGTTTCAAGAATAGGATATGTCACTGTATCTGGCTGCAAGGTTACAGTCAGGGAGGACAGTTCAGGTGGAGATGATGAATCCATGGACACAGAAACAGACGATGACACAGTCTGTACCAGTGGGATGGATAGTGAATCTGTCATGAGGAAACTTGGAAGAGACAACGTTTCTAGATCCATAAAAGATGGGGTATGGGTAAGGTTGTTCTCAGGCTGTATAGCAGATGAGGGATACAATGTGGCTGAAGAGTCTGTCTTAGACTGGTAAAGATTGGTGGAAATTTCATCACTCAGAGTCAGACTTGGCAGGGCAAAAGATGTCATTTCAGTTCTTGTGGTCAGAATTGGTAGTGACAAAGACTCAGACAATGCTGGGCCAGCAGAAAATTGTGGAAAGTCCGTCAGCTGTAAAGTTGGAAGTGAAAGCAAAGAAAAGTCAATTTCTGATAACAGGGCACTGTTCAGTTTTGCTTCTGTTGTCAGACTTGTAGGAGACATGTTGTTTGAAATGAGGTGACTGGATGAAAAAGTTGTTTCCGTGCCCTGCAAAGCAGTGAGCTGCAATGTCTCTAACAAGGGCAGAGATGTGGGCAGAACAGGTTCTGAAGGGAACAATGTCGCCACTGTAGATGCTGCAGCTGTAGTTTTAGATAATGAAATAGAAGTGAGTTGGTCAGACAGCTGGCTACTTGCAGTCTCAATTGCTGATACATTTTCAGATGGTTGAGGAAATGGCAATGTGAAAGTCTCCATGGGTGAAACTGAGAGAGTGGTTGGGATACTCTCCAATGGTGACAGAGATGGCAAAGACAACAAAGCAGGTTCCAAGGATGGCAGAGGTGTCACAGAAACAGTGTCTGTTGCTTCAATGTCCATTGCAGTTAATATGCTTGATAGCAAATGACTGGTAGGGCTGGGTTCTTCCACTAGGAGTGATTGAGTTAGAGGGTCAACTGTCTGCGATACTGTCAGTATGTCTTCCAGAGATGGAAGTGACAGTGTTTCAAATTCATTCAAAGGAGACCTAGATACTGTCTCTACAGATGGCAGCGGGATAGTTTCTGATATCAGTGGAGTTTCTGGTAAGGCTGTTACATTGATAGGCATTGAAGAAACTGATGCTGTGCCTGACAACTCTGTCAGAGGATACAGACTCGTCAGGTTCAGACTTTGAACTGATGAAGGCTGGAACAGTTGGAGAGTTGTTGGAAAAGATGGGGAGGGTTCAAGAGACATATCAAATGGGCTCAATGTTGATTGTGAGACGAACAGCTCTGAGTCTGACAGTTGTATAGACCCAAAGACGTCGTCATCAGTAGCTGGAGACAATTTTGAAATCAAACTAGGTGTGGGTTTCACTGTCAGTGAGATGCTATCAATTTTTGATTCAACCAACTCTGACATTGATGTGATCATGTAGATTTTGCTGTCTGACATTGCAAAGTTTGAAATAGATAGGGTTTGTAATAGTTCAACTGCAGAACTGTCAGAAATGGGTTGACTTGGCTGCACAGTAACAGCAGTTTCAAAAAAGGAGCTGGACAGCTCAGGTGTTGACACAGCAGTGACTGCTAAACTAGAGCTGGCAGGTCCAGATATTGGTAACAATGAGGATGACATGGAGAGTTTTTCAGTTGTTTCTGTCACTGACATGGATGGGAACTCTGTATCTGTCAGCAGTAAGAGAGATGGTTGTAGGGTAGGAACAAAAAGGGATGATGCTGACAGTTGCGGTTCAACTGTTGTTCCTGTGGTAGACATTGGAAACAGTTCTGATAGACTTGTGAGAGACAACAGTTCAAAATCATCCTGTGTTGTTGATGCAACTGAAGAGGACGGAGGAGCGAAGGAGTACATGGAGGACAGTGGAACAGTTGGAATGCCTTGGCTTTCTGTGGCAGACAGGGACTGGACAGTTTCTGTATTATGTCGGGACAGGCTGACAGACTCTGTTAGTGGCACACTGGGTGGCATACTCACTGTGGTAACAGCAGGGGACGGGGCTGGAGTTTGATACAAGCTCTCGGTCTCTAGCATGGACAGCTCTGAGAGGCTCAACATAAAACTTTCCGTAAAGCTGATGTATGATGGATTCACTACACTTGTTTCACTTGGGGATAATTCACTCGTAGAAAATGAGGTCAAGGAAAACATTTTTGACATTGCTTCACTGCTTGGACTGTATGATGGGCTTGGAACAGGTGTAACGGATGCTGATAGATTTGTTGCTGGAACTGAAGTTGTAACAGTTGCAGTTATCCCAGGAGACGAGGTCACAGCAATTGATGGTGTCATCTCAACATCAGGTATTTCTGTTGTGTTGAAGGGCAGGCTTGTAAGAGTTAAAAGTTGGGCTGATTCTGCTGGGCTTGTGATATCTGAGGATGGTGCCACAGTGGTTCCACTGGATGTCAATGCTGATGTCGAGATTGCTGCAAACGAGCTTGTGGGTGTTGAGGAGATATTCAGTACTTCTGCTGCAGGTGTGCTGGTTAGGTTGTACGAGCTTGAAATGGATGCAGCTGAAACTGCACTCATTGAAACTGGAGTGGCCACTTCTGCTGAACTTGCTGCTGTGCTTGTGGACGGACTTGTTAGGATTGTAGTGGGCATAACAACATCATGCGAGCCTGATATTGTTGGACTTGGCATTATCTCAAATGGCGAAGATGTTGAGAGGGATAGCATCTTAGTAGACTGTACTGCCATACTGCTTGGTTCCAAAGTGGGGGAAACACTGGCGGAAATCGAAGAATCCAGCAAGCTTTTTGTCGACTGTACTGATGTTGCACTTGGCAAGAAACTGGTAATGTTAGAGTCAGTTACTGAAGATGATGGACCTGTAGTTGTCTGCACTGTTGCTTCATTCAGTGACGAAGTGGACAAAGAGTTCATAACAGAATTAGGAGTTGGTGTTATCTGTGCAGACTGCACTGGTGTGTAACTAGAAGAAGCCACTGCAAAACTTTTTGAGCTTGAATAGGCAGCACTAGTACTGTCTGGCATTGTTACTGCTGTTGCTGTAGGTGTGCTTACAGAGTCAGACACAAAACTGCTTGATGGTTGAACACTCTCAAACACAGACGGCACACTTGAACTTGTGTTAGCAGCTGACAACGCAACTGATGATGAAAAGCTCAACACACTGCTTAAAGTTGCAGAAGTCTTTGTTGGCTCCAAACTAGAGCTCAACTCAACATGGCTGGACGGCACTGCAGTAAAACTCACACTTTGAGAAACAGTGGAAACCAACGCCACACTCGGGCTTACCGTATCCTGCGGGCTCACGGTAGCGTTCATGCTCAGGGCTGATGTCGGTGGCGATTGTGTGGACAGTTCTGACGGAGAGGATGGCACAATGGTTAGAGTTCTGGATGACGAAATACTGCTACTCAAAGTCAAACTTGGCAACAACATACTTGTTGTTTGTTTCAGATCTGATGACAAAGATGGTGTAGCGGTTACTGTTGATATTTTTAAAACTGTAATAGTTGGAGACGGGTCCAGCATCTGTGTTGTGCCCGACATACTGGATACTGTTGTTGTCATCTTGGTACTAGCATGGTCTAAACTGCTTGACAAAAGGGCAGACAAGTCTACATTGCTTTTAGTTGGTGCAATGGTACTAGTAGGCGACAAAGCACTCCTAGGAAAACTTGTAAGTAAAGCACTGCTAGATGATGCTGAGGCAGTTTGGCTGTCTGAAGCAGTCTGAACTGTTGAAGAAGACTGTACAACTGGTGTCACACTAAAACTAAGAGAAGCGCCACCTAGACTACTTGGCGAGGGCTGCAGGGTTGAATCAGCCACGGGAGTGGAGCTTGATGGGCCAGCCACCAAGGTTGAGCTCACACCAGCATCTGCAGAAAGAAAAGAGAAAAAAAAGTGACTTGTTAGTTACATATGAAATAATTGACAAATGCTATGTTGTGCAATGGTACAGTACGTCATTATTTAGCCTTAAATAATCTTTTGAAATTTACAGGCTTCTAGGAATCTTTATTATTATTATCTTCCAAGTTTCACAGTTACAGTTTGGCAACGCTGTATACAGGGTACAATTGAGAGTATGAAATGTGGCTTCATAGAACATTGAATGTTGTATATAAAAAGTCCTGTTATCTAACTTCAGATTGACTGTACGGTACGTAACACATGGATACCATCTTTTTTTTTATAGACTATGACAAGCAGACAATCACAGTGTAACACATGGCGCACAAACTTAGAATGTCACTGTTCCTGTGCATGATACTGACTCATTGTTGTTTGACACTGAGAACAGCTTGCACATGATAATTACCAGCATGGAATTAGGAACTACGGTTTGAATTTGACAGCTATGAACACCTTTTCTAAAATTTGTCTAGAATCTAAAATACAGAATATATGAAATGTTTGCTCCTGCATAATACAAGGTCATATGATTTTTATATATAGCCTTGGCTTACATGTACCTATTATGTATTTGCACCATTAAAAGGACAAAAAATCTGAGCTGATCTAATTACTTCTGAAAATCATGCTTAAGCCAATTACTTATATATACCGATACATGTAAGATCTATGAAATGAAAACACACTACTAAGTATGGTATTGATGGCTTTTCTGACAACGACAAATATTTTACGCAAAAATTACAATTACATGTACTTTGAATTACTGAAAGTTCTAAGGCCATTTATTTATACATCATTGCAAATAACATTATTAACAGTTTGACCTACGTTATAGCTACCCAACTGAATCCTTTATGTTTCATACCCTGAAAATAGCAGGTGCGCAGACAAAAACGAGTCAGAACAATAGACTTAAGGTGTAGGCTTTTAACAATGGTATCATAAAAAATACAACAGGGGCCCCTATAGGTAAACAATGGGGAGGTAATTGATGAGGGAATTCCGTGGCAGGCTTAAGCTATTGTGATAATATGTGCGACTGTAACAAAAAATTGACATGCATAAACCATCATAGATCCAGTTCCACACCCAAATCATTGTTCCCCCTGCATATCTAAACAGGTACAGGTAGTTTAGATCTGAGAATCGAGGAATGCACTCTGAGTTTGAGCCTAAACTCCATTGAAAAATTGTATATAGGGGTCTCTGAGAAACTCCATTTGACTGACAAAAATTGATGGTAGTAAGTACATGCAAAATCTACAGGTGTAAGGAAAAACTTACCAAAGAACATTACTGCAAACAATTTCCTCTACATTTGTACTGATGAAAGGTACCGGATGGTACCTGAAACGTCACTCAATACGTATTAAAATTTCAATTTATCCAGTTTGAAAAGATTCAACGGCTTTATCACTTTAACATTACTGCAAGTTTTCAAAAGCAGAGCAATTTGCTTTGTAAGGCCAATATCTTTTTTAATAGCTGTAGTGGACATAAATATCATAAATGTCAACTATAAATGTCAAAACCATAAGGTGTCATTTTTATATCTCAATAGAGCTGGGGGTTTGAAATATGGCCTCTGTTATCCAATAATCACTGACTTGCCAAAATAAGATTACAAATTTCTAATAATAGACATTGCATGTATTCAAATCATGGCTGCATATTTATTGCTAGAAAGACCTACATGTTTATTTATGTAGTTTGTATTGTAAGTTTCAGTATAATGGACAGCCTTAAAGCCTACTCAGAGTGGGTGCCCACCGTCCTGGGATCCTGTTTTATTCAACAGCTTTTCATCCACAGGGCGAACATACAGTAAGCCTTTGACTTACAGCATGAAACATGAGCCTAATCTACTTTTCTTCATTTACCTCTGAGCCTATTTATGGTCTGTGTTATATGAACCCTAAAACTTGTTCACATGTTCATTGAACCAATTTATTCCTTGTCAATATTCTGCACTTTATAATTCCCACTTCAGTTCACAATTACGTTTCCTGAAGTACTCAAACACCATATGTCATTGAGTTCAAATTTGTGCCACAAATTCAGAGAATTTTTTTAAAAGCTTTTAATTTAAAGGGTGTGAAGGGTAAAAAAGCAGAAGTATCCTCAAACACAATTGCAACCTGTCCACAGAAGACAGCATCACAAAAAGCTGGCTAATTTTGTATGTTTAACTTCATAACCCTGGTTGAGAGGGATTGAAAGACTGCATTTAACTTTAAGGACAAAGGTGTTTGTACATGTCAAGTTTACTGATAGTGACATCAGGTGACTGGTACAATGTGTACCTTGTACTGTATATTATGATCAGGTCACGTAACTCACACCAATGACTCACAATTGTTTGTTCAAGATTAGCATATCCATATTCAAGGACAAATTAACAACAACAACAAAATTGAACTTTGCATAGAGTCAGCTTGAATTTGGTGTAAATTTTGAGCTGTGGTCCAAAATAAACTCGCACAAAACAGACCTACATGTGTGACATGTATGTTGTATTCTGCAATTAAATTAACTAAAGAAAAGAATTGTTAGAACTTGAAATATTCAAACTAAACTTTAATTTAAACATCTCAGGCTCACTAGAGTATTTGTATATTCAATACAAGCCAAGATCTCTTTCATGTAGACACTGGCAATGCGTCATAAGGCAGGTCTTGTTGAATCTTCATGAGCGTGAAGTTCCTTAGCAACGAGGGTTTTTAAAGAACGCAGTTCTGGTTGACTGGGTCCTTCACAGCCAGCTGCCAGTACAAACTAACCTGCTTGTCTTGGGTACAAAAGGGACTCCATACCACTTGTGCTTTCTTTATACAGGCTACTACAAAAATACAACCTGGAAAATATTGACTGGTAAAAATACTAATATGAGAATAAGCTAGACTATCAATAAAAATCTTGATAAAAATGGCCTTAAGTTACAATATTATTTAAGTGACTTGAATCATTTGATTGATGATTCAGTATAGGGAGCATGTCACAACATAATATAGAACAAATACATATAACTTATGAGGGCCAAACTTCTCATGCATTTATCATACTGTACCCTAATCTTTCAAATATCAATTTTCATTTAAAACCCCAATCTGCCTCAACACGCCACAATAAAGGCTAAATTACTTGTTGATGCATATACTGAGGTCAAATGACTGAATCGTATCTACCTTGAATATCTTTTGGCATCAGCATGAGAGGACTGAAGGCTATATACATCAGAGTATGAATAATTTATGCTGAAGTTGGTGATGTCTGAAGGAGATATAGGGGCTGTACAGACTAATTTGACTCTAGCATGCAACAACTACTTACTCCACACCTTTCTTCTCTCTTGGGATTTAGTAGGACATACTGGTAGGCTATATATAAATACTGTCTAAGAGGGATTTAAACCAGTTTTCCAATAACACACTCTCACGGTCTGCAAGCTCCTTGGAGTACGGCACCTCTGCAAATAGTTCTCCATATACTTTTCCAATACCAATTATAAAAATGATCTTTATTTCTTGAAGACTGAGTCAGCTAGACCAAGGATCATTGGCTAGACAAATGATAAACACTCTGTGTTCATTTTTCTATTTCAGACATGCAAGCAACTTAGCTATAAAATGATTCTTTTAAGTCCTCACATACAAATAATTTTACACAAGTTGATGTTGAAGAATGTATGCATGTGCGTGTGTGTGTTGATTATATCATGTACTGTAGTTTCACTACAAAATATATCATCCAGAAAGCCTGCAGCAATGCATTGTTGCTTACACCTGCTCCTCTAATCTTTGAGGAGACACAAGAACTCATTTTCCCCTTGTTGAGTTTGAACAAAAGCTGAAATCCTGGCTATTGAGTTTCCTCTCGTAAGTGAATTACCTGCTGGTATACAAACATCATTAGCATGGAAAAGTCTTTGTGGATTTTAGCAAGGTTACCTGATGGTGAGAAAGCTTGTGACTGTCCCCTTTTAAGGGCTGCTGGCTACACAATTATTAACGTTTTCTTCTACAGGAACACTGTATCATGTATGTGACTAAACTCTGGAATTCTGTTAATGGCAAGAGTACTTGGGGATCTGTCTAAGCCTCACATTAGCTATAGCATGGTCTTATCTCCATGCATATGGTTTTTATCTTCTCCTGTGCAGAACTTATGGATGGCTGGCAGTTTTCTATCAAGTATCAATGGCTGTTTTCTGCTGATTTGTACTGTTTTCTGATTGTGTGCTAATAATTGACCACTTCTGGTGACTACCAATCAAGCATTGCCATATTAGACCATGTCAGCAATAAAAACAAATTGTGATACTACAGAAACCTAGCCTCCACCAGACCTTCCTATTAAAGATCCAAATTCTATTATGTGTAGTTTTAGCTATTGTTAATCTGGTGGGGAATATTATTATTATTCAAAAACTTCCAGCCACCTACAGGGTAATCTCTGGAGACTAAGCAATATGGAACTAGTTTTTTTCATTAATTTATTTTTTTACATAATTCTGTAAAAAGTGTAACGTTAAATACATTTAATAATTTATCTTGAGATCATCGTCAAAGTTGAATTGGTCATCCACTTTTTCTCAAGATGGAATGAATGAATAAAGTTAAGTGAATCGATGTTCATTGTTCACGCGAACAGTACACAAAGACTATTCTAACAGGTGTCAATAATCAATAAAGTCGCTTCAGTTACCAGCCAAGATTGGTTGCAGCATCTGCAACATTATAGATTTACTGAACAAAGAGTCACAGATGTCAGAGTTCAGCCAAGGTTGTTTCTATGCTTAACCCATTAAATTCAAATTTGGGCAAATTTGTGTGTGCACTTGGGGAATTATCTCATGAACAATTTGCACACAAATGGTGTTCTAAACCTTGTCATGGCAACAGAACGTCGCTGGTGCTATGCCCAACTTTAACCGACAAAGCTTACAGGTCTAACGGTTAAATCAATCAATAAAAATTCAACCTGCACACACTACTTGTACTTTGTCAAAGCTATCAATGCTTCATCTGTAAGGCACAAAACAAGGACCAGCAGGGCTAAAATCAATGTAACGGTTAGCTGTGCTGTCGTCACTGAACTCATATGTACATGTAACGTTACCTGCTGTTACTTTAATTAGTCTGGCATTTCAGAAGGGTTCAAATCTGTCTGTTCAATCCTAAGTAAATATGGTACAAACGGGCCAAGACTATACTAAGAAATCTCAGACAATGGAATGTTAGACTTCTTAGAGTATTAAACTTAGACTGATAAAATTGGTGACAAATGATGATAAAATGGGAGACGGTTTGTCAATGGACATGAACACACCACAAGAGAGTTATGTGGCACTGTTTCCATCAAACCTATAATAATTTACACAAAATCCCCCAGAAATATGTAAATTACAAAGCCTTTAACAGGTGGTCTGTAAAGTGTAATAAAATGAACTTATTTGTTATCATGCCTCTTCACCTTTTCCATTTTCAACCCCTACCCTAGTATGGTAAAATGAAATGTTGCTCACTTTGCTTAAAAACCAAACAGACCCTAATTTTTCCATGTTTGTATCAGGTTAGTACAAATTATACAGACACGACAGCTGGTAACCGTTATACAGAAGCAGCAAAATCAGGTGTGTCTTCAACCACGAACAACCTTGTTTTCCCTTTCCTTTCTTATTAGTATATTACAAAGCTTTGTAGTTTGAATGAGATCATAATATCCTCTGGGGCTCGTTGGAAAGCCCGAGGCGACTGTCTTCTAAAGGTTATGGTTTATCCATTTCAAAGACTGCTAGAAAGCGCGTCCCTCGGGGATTTGAGTACACGAACACCCTGGCTTCCCCAGCCGAGCACACGCTAATAAACCGCAGACGCCACGACATACTGTTCGCCCCCCACCCTCTTGAGAAATAATATATTTTGAGATTTTCCGCCTTACCTGAGGAAATAGTGCTCTGTCCACCGGCCCAGCCGAATATCCACAAGATGAGAAAGACGTGAGGCAGTCCGCGTAGATAGGGAACCATCTTTTAAACTTCTCAGATGGCAAAAACGTTCGGGAAATTTTCCAAAGGCTAAACGGCGTCTCTCAGATAGCGGTCATTTTCTTCAACATCGCACCTTTTTTGACGCTGCGTCTCTATGCGATTAACTCACACCACGGCGCCATCTTGTGCCGTGTACTTGTGCGTTGGAGGTTGTGAGTCAGTAGAGGCGTGGTTGTTTAGCGTGGTTCACCGGGAGACAGGGGCAAACACAGCCGCCAGCATTCCTGCCTTCTCGCGTAACGCCGCCATTCACAAACATGCAGGCTGATGGTGGGCTAACGCTTGAGAATAGGCTCCGCCTCCGTCACCTTTTTTGGAACAAGCTCCACCTATATTGCCATGTTAGGTTTGAAATTCTTACAGCTCCGCCTACTTTACCTAGTTTGGTAATCTGGTAATAGCTCCGCCTACTGACCTGAGTGGGTCAAAGGACCGTGTTCGTTGCGTATTTTAAAAGCGCCACCTTGCGTCTGAGATGAAAATGGCAACCCTTCAATACTAGTACTCAGACCAGGAAAAGAAAGCAAATTTAATACAGTCTATTTTCCCATTTGAATTTGAATTGTCACTGATGGGAGCTGTGTCTCGGTTTCACTAGGTATCAACTGGGGATTACGTTACTTCCCTTTTTTGACCACCTTCAAGTCCTTGGCATCATGTTTGGGCAAAGTAGGTTAGACAATTGAGATAGGGAGGCTACATGTATTGTATGAAACCTTTGTTATCTATTTCCCTTGAAAATCTGTCACTTTTAATGAAGTACATGTAACGCAACTGCTAACCGTTAACATTAATTGGATTCATCTCCTAAGCTTCAAGAATGAACTGTCACCTGCCATGAATTACAAGTACATGTATCATATGTTACACTACAGTAAGAACTGCAAAAACTACACTGCAACAAAATTATCATGCAATGTGAATTGCTTTATTAATAATCTTCCCGTATCACCAAACTGTACACTATTTCTACAGCACTTCCTTCAAAAACGTATTAATCCGCCAGAGTAAAATAGTTCACGTCATCTCGCACAAAGTCTCTTCTACGGTAAAATACTCGTATTGCACACGATTAGATAATTGTACAGAGTTAGACACAGTCGCATGTACAAATGGTAGGCTATTCACCGCATTGTTACAGGGAAAATTCACAACCAATGCCTCTGTTAGACAACATGATCCACCCTGACACCCCATACATCCACAATGGCATAATCCACAATATGCTTGTACTGGCTGGCTATTGGTCATTGGAATAGTGCACTTGAAGAACATGGGGGTGCCTCAGGAAACATAAACATAGTTTTGTCTATGCCTTGTTCCTTGCCAACCAGTAGTTATTTTTGTGATTTGGAGTCAAGTAGGAGAGTACAGCATGGATCACACTGCTGACAGAGACACTGTTCACAAGGCATTGAGGGCTGGGTATAAAGATACCACAAGTGCATAATTGTTAATAGCAAAATGCAGCAAGTCCTTCACTACTAACCTATTCCCGGCTGGTTACCGGGTTCTTTACAGACTATTGCTAGTTGTTGTCACATGGATGCAACATTGTTCAGTTGTCACTTCAGATACACTGAGAAACACCAAGATTAAAGGACTATATTTAAACTCAATCCATAGTCTATCTTCATACGTAGTCTATAAGTCATTTTTACTTCTTAGCCTACACGCTATAATTAATAGCAACAATGCTCTGCAGTATCTTTGCTATTCTGGTACGACTAGCAATGATGTCTTGCTAATAAATCACAGTAAGTAAACAACAAACACCTAACAAGTAAACAATGGAATCCTTCCCAATTGGACACACACAAACAGCACACATTTTGGAGGAATCAACATGTCCAAGCATCACAAGCTGCCTTGTATAGGAACACCACAACAATATCAATTGTATATTAGAGACACTGTCAATACCAAAGTCTACCACAATTAACACTTCCATGTCTTTGGCCAAAAACGTACTAACGGCACGACAGTTAACACTACATCAGTAACATCTTACAATGTGTCCATGGTCACCCCCCACCAGCCTTGATTGACAGCTCAACCAAATGTTAGTTAGCATGCATACAGTTGACATCTCTCAGATAGCAGCTGCTTGTGTGGTCTGACACAAGCCCAAGCACCACAGGAAAACCTGTGTTACAAGTCAGCAAGCAGCAAAGTGGGGTGTGGGGGGTTTGGGGGTGGCTACATCAGGTACATGTAGATTTTCATACACGTGACTTCACATTTACGAGGTAGAATCTAGCCAAGATAATCTCCTTCAAAACCTACAGAGAACACAGAAATAATTTTTCTTATCGAACTGAACACTGTGACATTGGGAAGTTTGGCAGCTGTCAAGGGTACGTTAGTCTACTGAGAAGGTTACAGCCAGCTACATGTGACATGTTGGTTCTCACTATCAACCAGAGCTGGAAATGAAGTCAATCCATGGAGTTGATACTTGTGATGCTTAAAATGCTATATCAGGTAAATAAACCCGGGTTACTTGTATCCATACACTAATTTCTAGGCAACATTAAGTTTGACTACAGTTCTCAATCCATCTACACATTGGTTAAGTTGGCAAGCACAGATGTTATGTCTGTCCTACGACAAGTAGAAAGCTATAAACATCACTCCCTGAAAAACTTCTGTTGCTAAAGATACGTGTATATTGCTTAGAAGGGTCGGCCAACTGCCTTCAAATCATTCCTACACCAACTGGGAATGGCTCTGATCAAAGCGCAGAGGAACTTTCTATTTTCAAACATTCCTCAAGTAGGTTTGGCACAATTTAAAATGATTCTGTTATGCACATGGTCCCGTGGAGCCATTTAAACAGTTGAGAATCTGGAGACTTTTGGGATGTCATCCAAACAACGCATTTCTGGCATAAATTTCAGATTAACCAAAATAGTATGGTTTTGTCATTCATTTGTTAAACTTGCTTATACAATACTGGGTCAATTTACTATAAAATTTTTGAGGGTGGTCTTTACAAAAAAATCTTATTTCATTCATGCTACTCTTTTCTTATCTTAAGGCATTGCAGTCCTTGATTCGAAACACAACTGTCAACTGCCAATCCCAGTTGACCTTTATCTTAAACCTTTACCCTTGGCCTGACCCTCATGATTACACATGTAGAGATATAAGGCAGTGTGCACATCGTACAATACCCCTGAAGTCACGAGCATTAAATGCTTAGGTACAAATAAGCTGTGCATATGTTCATTTTCACATCAATAAAACCTGAATACAGTAAATTGTGGTCCTGTGGCGTACTGACTCCCCTCCTGCTATTCTTGGTTTGGTCCCCTAAGCTTATGGTTAAAGCACCATAGACCAAACCATTCCTATTCTAGGGGAGTGCAGTTAGAAGCTCAGGTGCAGAAGTGCAAATACATGTAAGAGATTAAAACATGTGTTCCACTCAACTGACACAAATGCTTAATAGTGGTAAGGGGTAAATATTGTTACCACCATAAAATAGAGCACACCTAACTATAGTTAACATTTAGTATATGCACTTCAAATAGTTGGAAACACAAAACATCTATATGGTGAAACAATCAAACTTATTCTACCATCTACGTGCCACATAGCAGTGTGGTATGGTCTGTTATGTGCCTACATTATACCTGTATTGCAGAATACCTGGGACATACCACCCCAGCAACAGGGTGTGAGACAATTCTACATATCTAGTTTGCTATAGCAGCACCGATATATGAGCCTATTACTATGTTACATCTCTGTATACTACAATTCACAAGACCACCAGATTCCACATTGTATAGATAAATATCTGTACCATACGATAGAATAAAAGCCAGATTAAACGAAGCCTAGTGTTTGATATACCATGCAATATTCACTGGCCCCTCAAAAGTCAGTAAAAATCCATAAAATTTCCAGAAAACACTCACAACATCCTAGTATATATGCTATACTATAGCCAGCAGAGATTAGTGTATTAAAACTAACATAACACTGATCCTTCTCACCCTGTCATGTCATGTTGGTACATCCCAGCAGACAGATACTAAGCATTACAGTATATAGATTCTACCATCAATGAGTACACAGGGGTGGGTTTCATGGAATGTGGCCACTTCCCACCCCTTCTCCACACCTAAAAATACAATATGGTCCACTCCAAGATGCTGTGGGGGTGGAACAGAGGGGATTGTGAATTCATGACCACTCCCCATCCATTGTCCCCCAAAATGAGAATGGTCCAATCCCAATGCACTTGCAAAGTGAAGAGTGGCACTTTCAGATGTGATGAGATTGGTGCCCTTATAGTAATCTTAAGTGTACACATGGTAAAAACACAGATCCAGTACATTTTAAAATTTTGTAAATACCATTCCATAAAATTCACACACTTAAAACTCCAATTGACATTCAAATCTTGCTCTTTGCATAAAAGCCTGCATACTTGGTTAAATTTCCTCTATTAAACATCTACAGTCCTATAATACTGTGGTTCGGCAATCAAGCACAAATATCCAATTTTTCTCAGTGCTATTATACATACAAAAGTTGATGGCTTCAGGTCTTCAAGTTAGTCCCGTATCTACTTCAAACAACACTTATACATTCTTTATACATCTTGATCATGCCTCAGCAGTCTAGTCTTCAAAGCAAACACCTCTGTACAAGGAAACTTTGGAGGCAATCATGAATCATCCAATACATACAACTTTTGCATAAAATTCATATCCAACTGTCACAGGTTGGTACTGGTTGCTAGCATTGTTACACAATACATTGTAACTTTCTTTCGCATTGACATTCACCTCGCTATGTTCCAAATTATCATTATCATATCCTTCCTTCCACCTGCTCTCGTGACCTCTGCAGAATAACCTTTGCCCTCTGAACCCTTACCCTTCACCTTTACAATAGTGACCATCTCACATATATCATCACTTGTTACCATTCCTTGAAAGGTTAAAACATGACAAATACAAATGAACCTACAACGAACAAGCCGAGGCATGCACATGCACACCAAAAAGGCAGGTCACCCGGCACCATAACCAAGGAAACGTCCCTTGCCACGGCTCAGGCTGTCATGGCTGGTAGATGTACTGGTACTGCCGTGAGCGGGTGGGGCTGAGGTTGTAGGCGGTGGAGAGCATGGGCCCGGCCGTCGTCACGGCGATGTAGGTAGGACGATTTATTGCTTGGAACTGACTCTGCCCCACTAGGTGCTGCCCAGTGGAGGCCAGGAGGGTAGGGTTGACAGGAAGGTGTGCTGCCAGAGAGTGGCGCGGGCTCTGATGGGCCAGCGGGGGAAGCGCTGCCCCAGGGGAGCGTACCCCCAGGGGCTGGGGGAAGATAGGAATGTGTGCTTGTGAGGGCTGCAGCTGGGACGTGAGGATCTGTCGGTGGGTGGGGCTGCCCTGGGCTGCAAACGGCACCTGCTGAGGCAGGTAGGGCTGCTGTCGGGTATTGTTCTGGGCTGCCAGGAGAACAGGCTGGCCTTGGGTCTGCATGGGAGACACCTGGGGAACAGAAGACACCAATGTTATTAAAATACATATCTGATGATGATTCAGGATTTCCACAACTGTACACAGCAGCTCTATGAAGGGAACGGACTATAAAGTAAATGGTAGAATGTGCACAATGGTGAGTATCCTACCTGTGTGAGATTGAGCGGCTGCTGCTGCGGCAACACGTTGACCACATTGGGACGTCCACGGAACTGAGGCTGTGCTGGGAGGTTTCCCATGAGGTTTTTCTTAGGTGAGCGGTGCACTGTTGGTAGAAGCAACCACACTCATTGAGTATCCATGAGGGAATACAGCACACAACATAAATTTATCATATTTAGATTTGTTACTCCAAATGTGAAACAGTTAAAATATGATAAATGACAGATGGGCTACCTTGTGGCTGGGGATGCACCGTTGCATTCTTCACAGTTCTACCTGGCCTGTGGTTTCCCATGGTATCAGCCCTTCCCACCACCTTCACTTCTCTCAATGTCTCCTTGGAATCCATCTCTTCCTGCATGCCATACTCTGCAGCATGGGCCGATGCTTCAGTCTTCGGCTTCACACCCTGCATACTGGTATGTTTCCCCATCACGCCCTGGCTGAGAAGCGGCTCCAGGTTTTTCCTTGTAGAAGAGTTCACTCTGATTGGTGGCTCCACCTCGAGTGGTGATGCCATATTTGGAGAGTGAGACTTTTGGGCATCTTCTGCGAGCCGGTTTCTGTTCAAGTCTTCCAAGCTGCCGAAGCCCAGGTTCTGGCTGACAGGCCTGCTGTTGTTCGGGGTGACGACGATCGTGTGTGTGCTGCTGTGCCGGCGCAGGTTGGCTGCCAAGTCCACGCTCATCTGGCTGATGTGGCTCGTCCCAAGGTTCTCTGGGCTCATGTTCCGACTTGAATCTGAGTCAGGGGAATCTGGCACTGTCACACAGCTGATGACTTGGTCCCTTCGCCTGTGCAACATGTATTAAAGGAAACATGAGCTAAATAAAAATGGTTTACCACCGTTGGTTGACCAATAGAATCTAAAGCAGTCACAATCACGTTAGCTGTTTCATTTACTGGCAAGCCGGTCAATACATCATCTACATACCAATACATGGCATTTATACTGAAATTTTATCAGGAACCAAATATGACACTCCAATGAAGGTTTGCAACAGTGTAATGGTGTGCTTGGTCACAGCCTCAGAGGGCCTAAGAAACACAGTAGAAACATACATATTTCACAAGAGATATTTATCGACAACAAGAAGTTTCTGACCTGTCAGTGGCGTGGTCATCCTTAACAGGGCTGACACTGAGGCTGCTGGAGCTGGAGCCATCAGGACTGGCACTCAGGACACTGGAGCCGCTCAGCGAGCAGGACTGGGTCATGCTGTTACACCCACTGTTACTGCACGCCTCACACTTCCTGTCCTTACACCTGGAGAAACATAGGTGAAGCACACGGCTTTAACAGTGATCAACTGTAAATAACAGTACATTTTTTCCATTGCAAACTACAGCGCCTATGTAAGTCATATACCGGTATCACCTTCTAGAGTGTACATGAATTTCATCGGTAACATTTTACATGCCCATGATGCTCACCCTTGGGGACTGTTCCTTTCATCCTCGCTATCACTACTGATGGTGATGACGCTGATTGGTCGATCTGGCGCAGGACTAGGACTGTCTGGGATTACGATTGGCTGCCGCTGCTTGTTGTAGGGCGACGAGGAAGCCTCCATCTTGGTGTGCGTGGCTTCCCGGAATCTGATGGGTGACGTCGCCCGCAGCAGGGTGGGGGCATTGGAGGTTGCCGTGGTTACAGTTGCACTCAGCCCTTGTGTGACCGGCGGGCTGTGCTTGCCGTGTTTCGTGGCAGGCGGGGACGCCCGTTGACTCTGTGTCGTAGCTTGTCTATATAGAACAACAACAGATGTTGGTCAATGTGACTACAGTGAAAACAGCAGGACATAAAGTGACAGCATACACAATGACCAGCTAACATAACATTTAAGACAACAATAGGGAAAGATTGTACTGATACCTTCTGTTCTGGCCACTTCTCCCATGCCTCTTTTGGTGGTTCATCACCTGATTGGTTGGTAGAATGCCGAGGTTCCAGACATTACTGGTCTGTGGCATGGGGACGTTGGTCAGGAAAGACTGTGTCACCACAGGATTGAACTGGCTGGCAGGGTTTCTATGCGCTGACAACTGACGTTGCTATAATGGATGTGAAGAGGAAGAGTTTACTCATAAGAAGATAGTGATGCTACAGTTCCACTATAATTCAAAGTTAAGTAAATCTGTATGACTGTATTAAAAAGAGGAAGGGATGCTCACATCCACCAGATGGTCATACAGTCTCCCGTCTCCAATCAGCATGCTTGGTTCAGCTGGGATCAGCCCACCTTCTTGCACTGGTGCCGCCACAAGCGAGTGTCTGTGGTAAGAGACAAGCAAAACTGTAAGAAGAAGCCTGAGAAACGAGGACCTATGCTGGGGACATGGTGTGCAGAGATAAGACTGTAAAGAAAGGGCAACCTTGAAAGAAAAACTTTTCAGCCCCTTGGTAGGTTGGCTGCTCAACTATGATTTGCACTTTATTTGTCCACTTCACAGAAGAATGTTCAACAACTACAAGTCATGCAAAACAAAGCAGCTCGTCTGGTTCTACACCGTGACTTCAAAACCCCAGTACAACAGCTCCATGCGTCTCTGTCATGGCAGACTGTCAAGGAAAGGATTCTTGTAAACACTGTCTCTCAGCTACAGAGGGTCATTGCTACACATCAACCAGAAGTACTCTACAAACAGTTATGTCCTGTCTCCTACCACCACAGCCACAACACACGTCATGCTAGCCGAAACACATACTGTTTAATGAAACCCAAAACGAACGCCCTGAAGAAGACTTTCATTTATAGATCGTTAACAGTTTGGAACACTTTGCCACATGAGGTACAAGCAGCAACTAAGAGTAGGTTTAGGAAGGAGTTGTTAGAGCACATGCGTACATAGGCACATGATGATAGGCACATGTGATGTTACTTTTAAATGTTAAGTCTAATGTTGTATGTAAATAATGTTGTAATTTTGATGTGGTGTATTTGTATTATTGTATTTTAACTCCAGGAAGATTAGCTACATACTTGATTTTGTATGTCTTGTGTGTCGCTAATGGAGTTTAATAAAGCACATAAAGCACATCAGAGAAAAGTCATTTGTGACTGGCTGATTACCCATATCCATCCTGGCGTTCTGATTGGCTGGCTACAATAACAATCATTGGTTGATTTCATTGTATTCTAATAATTCCGTGATTGGTAGACGGGGATCTGTGGCTTACCTCCAGTTGTCTGTGATTGGCTGATTGGTTGCTATGGCTTCCTGTATGACCGTCTGCTGAGGCTGCATGGCAGGTGGTGCCTGAGTGGCGACACTCTGCAGCTGTTGCCATGGCGCTATCAGCACCTGCCTGTTGGCCGGCCATGTCTGTGAGGGAGCGGGAGCAGGCTGATGACAACAGAGCAAGAAAAACCTTGACAGGTACTGTTGCAACAACACTTCCAGACACACATTTCACAATGGAAGAAACAACTGTGTTTTACGCAAATCACCATCCCTCAAATATTTAAACTGACATCAGACATTGGCACTATGAAATTCTTACACAAGACCAGGGAAAAGATCAACTTTATTGAACATATTGTACTTACTCTCAACAACAGGGTTCCATTCTGGGCACGTGCAGCAGTCTGGGACCAGCCCGTGCCTGCTGTGCCGGCTGCTAAGGTTACAGGCACAAACTGTTGCTGATTGGCCACTTGTGGCCCTGGTTGGAGCTGAGCCATCACCGGAGTGTGCCGTGCCTGGAGTGTGGAATTCTGAAGAAGACAAGCAGCTTTTTACATCAGGGAACTACAGACACAGTTTAAATAGTACATTTTGAATAGTATGAAAAGACAATTCGGAAATTAAATTCATCCATGCTTAAGTACCTTTTACATGATCATCATTACAATCATGCTCACCTGTGTCAGTAACTGTGGCTGCAGCTGAAGTTGGGTGGGTGGGGCTTGTGTAACCATGGCAACAGGGTTATCCACCCGCATGTTGTACCCAACATGCTTTGATGGTGACGACTGCAGACCTGTAACAATGGACAATAATGAAAGTCATGGTCAGGGTTTTGGGGGTTGTTAGAATTCAACACTATATTCTATATCAATATCCAAGTCTATAGAAAAGTAAAAGATCTAGGATTTTATGTTACTAAAAAGTTACAAAGAAAAGTGCATTACCTTGGTACCCGGGCACTCCGATGAAGGAGTTGACACAGAGTGACTGCTGGAATGGGTCGGTTCTTGTCGCTGCGAACTGCCCGTTGGTTCGCGCCGCCTGCTGTGCCAGTCGCTGTTGGACCTGTGGCGGCTGGTACGGGAAACACGGCCCCGGCTGCAGCTGGTAGTTCAGCAGCGACAAGTCGGGCGCAGCCTGGGTCACCTGAGGCGCGTGCGGTGCTAGAGCTCCATGGGCCTGATTGGGATCAAACACAGGTATTAACATGTTAGTGGGTAAAATGTTTTGAACCCAAATCTATGATATACACACATATTATTGTAACATATATTAGCAGCCATGCAATAGCCATTCAAACCTAACCACAAGAAAGGTTTGACATATTTTTTGCATATCACCTCATGTTTCATCAGAAGTATAAGATGCATTTATGTTAGGAAGGGTCAGAAACTGTTTTGTGCCAATTCATAAAATTCATAAGTCTGGGCAATCTGTCAGACCAACCTAAAAAGCTTTATCAGCAGCCTAGCTAAGGCTTTACTTAAAGGATGCTGCCAAACACATGGAGGAAAGTAACTTTCTTCAGGGTCATTGTCCTACCTGACTCATTGCATTGAGCTGGTTGTTGAAGGTCACGGTGAGGTTGTTGGTTGGGGTTGGATCCAGGGCAGTGGAGAACAGAGCAGGTGTCTGGTTCAAGTTGAACGGGCGCCGACATACTTCCAAGTTCCTTACAGCCTCCTTCACACTGGGGAGAAATGAGTGACTGATCAATGGACAGTGGAAATATTTGTCCCAAATCAAGCAAACTCACCAAAACGTCATCAAGAAAAGAAACACAATTCACATTGATTTTGTTCATCTATGAAATAATGGATACAGTCATTATAGTCATACAGATAGGAATATGATCAACTTAGTCTGGATAGTGTCAGAATGTGGTAACTACCATTTCAAAGTGGGGGTGGACAGGGTGCTGCAGAGTCAATTATACTTACACATTGCAGTGCGCATAATCCACAAGATGTCCCAATGTCACAAACGGGTGGTTGAGGGCCTCCCCTGGCGTGATGCGCTTGTCTTGGTCAATCTGTAGCATTCTCTTCAATAAATCCACAAACTCTCGTCTGTGGAAAAGATGTTTAGAAGAATGTGAATACATGTAGAGTCTTACATATTCTGATTCAGGCTTCACAACTGGGTCTTGACATACCCATAAGTACATGCATGTTTATAAGTCTGGGTTGATCATTACTTCTAATCTTAAATTCAGACCTAGTCTTCAACAGATGTTTGAATTTTATGTAAGCAATTTGTTTAGGAGTGTTGCAGTTTTGTCACAACATGCTAGGTGGAGCTTCTGCATATGAAATCATCCTTACCTATCTGCCTTCTCAGCTAGCAGCTCACTTCCTTCTAATTCACTTGGAACATTCACCTGCAAGCAAATGTACAAATTCAGTGATACTGTAGTTGAACATCGAAGAATTCAATCTTTATAATGCCCATGGGTGTAACATTTTCAAGTTCAAATAGTAATACATTTATGGCAATGTCTGTGGTAAATCCTTATGTACTAGACAATGCCTTCAGTACCATTATGGAAAATCTAGTCAACTCCATTACACAGAAAACACCATTAAATCACAACAGCAAATAAAACACAAGTCATTGTAATGGAACTTGAGACTTCAAGCAGCACCAATAAGCTCATAACTTATCTCTGGTACTTCCTGGTAACACATCACAAATCCATGCTTCCAAGTTCATTTCAGACAGTATATCATCATGGACATGCTCTAGGTTGATGTGTGTGTATTCATATTGCTTATGTTGTGTTCCTCACTTGGCAAGGGACATGCAAAGAGTGATATGTGCATGCAGAGGTGCTGTGTTTCATTTGGTATGGCTTTGACCAAACCTTTAACCAAAAATAGAGTCTTCTCAGCTATATTGTCTGACAGAGACAAAGATAGGAAATCTAGCACCAGAGCTTCATAAATTTTAATCAAAAATTAATTTTCAGTGCCCGTTATTGTTTCATGATTAATACTTGCATGATTTTTTGCTGGACATCTGTCAATGCATGGGTGCACTTCATAGGTTACATGTAAATTTGCATGCAAAGAACAACTTTCAAGAATTGACAGAAAAGTCAGTGTACGATTTTTGAGGAATTCTCAATAAAAAATGTTTGTGTATTTGTCAGTTTTTACTAATTGTGTATGCAACATTTCAGTCCAACGGTGAAAACTGTGTACCATCTTTACCATCTTTTACTGCCAACAATTCTTGCAAAGCAAAATACCAAAATGGGTTTGACCGATAACTGTGACATAACTGTGAGAGTAAATTGATATCTCAATAATAGCATAGCCAGCGTAAATGCCACAGTAGGGAGCCCATCCTCCTTCCAATTACCTGCCAAGTTCTGGAACGTCTAGAAGAGTCATTCTTTTGGATTCCATAGCCCACCTGTGCCATGTCATCCAGGCAGTTGAAGATGTACTTTCTCGCTTCCTTTGACTTGATGCTGTACTCTGCCTCATGCTCCTCTGGGGTCTGCAGGTAGAGAAATCATAGGTCAAACTTATGTTGTGCACAGCACTTTAGAGGGTGTCTAAGCCAGCCATCATTTTCCTTCCAGCACATGGCTGTCATACATGTATTGCTGCTAGTGGTAGCAAGTTGGGACAAATCTGGCCACTCAGGGGACTGGTAAATTATGGTCTATGTGGACAGGTGGTTGACAGAGTTCTTGATGCTTGTGCTGATGGGAAAATTAAGTAAGGGACCTGAAGGAACCACAAAAAAGGGTCACATTGGCCAGGTGGTAGAGGTTGACGCGTGTACAGGTTTGACTGTGCATCGGGCTTGGATCTTATTCCTTATGTTGGTAAAATGGTGCCGACCTCACAGTGTTCAGCATTTGTAACATAATTATGTCTGCCTATACAGAATCGACCTCTCTGAAAATCAACACTCATATCAACATTCGTATTCTGTGACATTTGCCTGTAAATGAGAATAATACTGATGTATTGTTAATAACGCTAGATGCTAATTCCCTATTACATGTATGCGCGTCTTATCAGGTTTCACTTACAGCCTTTGTAATAAGCAATTTAGCTGCTGCTCTGCACAACAGGCCACATGATTAGCTCTAATCAATGAGAAAGAATAATAAAATTATCCGTGAATGTTTCATAAACGTGAATAACAATCTCTGTTTCATCTCAACATTAAAAGGTAAAGGTACATTTACCTGAACAGTCTGATGTTTCTAGACATAAACATGATGTAAGTCTGGGTAGAGTGGCTTAAATCAAGACCGAATAATTCTAGAGTGTCACAGCAGATCAATGTCTCAAGCAATCTGATATTATCATCTGTAGCTTTTGGCTTAGAACCTTACAGAAGAACTTAATTTACATACTACATATGAAATCTTTGGTATCAAACTTTCCTTTCCACTTTACTTTGGAACCCATCAAACCCTTTCCAACTTTCAAAAACAGGTTCCATTAGAGGTGAGGGCACCCATGACGTACTCGGATCCTTGGCTACTGACGTACATGAGCCCACGGGAGAGTGGAAAGCACAGGATTTCTGCTCAAATATAGCAGGTGATTTGTAAAGGGCCCTTCCCAGATCCATTAAAGCTCAGCATGTTCGTTCTCCACACTGCTGCAAAATACTCCAGAGACAAGCACGAGGAGCGGCAGGCGGTCTCTCACAGACGTGTGGAGTGTCATTACCACCTGGTCACTGCACGCAGGCAGGATGCAGTGTCTGTGAGAGTGTCTTCTCGGGTAATTAATAGACATCTTGGGCACTTTATGACGTCAATCACTTCTTTGGAATTAAAATAAAGCCACTGTGGGACCACTCCTGACGATCTCTGTGCAGTTTACGCGCTAATATAATGAGAGGAACAAACTTGCTGTATACTCTGCTCTCTAATCTGAAACTAAAGCTGCATATTTAATCTGACCTTTGGTACAAAACCTCTGCCTGCTTCAGTTCATCCTGGCACAAATGGCTACTGATGTTGATGGTTTCTGTGCATTAGAGCTAGATAGGTCAGGTCTGTACTACGCTACAGCAACTCGGCAATAAAAAGGCTTGTACGCCTAAATGACCCGTTCATTCAACCTAAGACTTGCATCTTCCTGGAAATCCCTGAAAATTGTGCCTTGCGGCCACAGCAAATGTCATTTTGGCATTCACAGTAATGTTTATGTATCAGTCACTGCAGCAGGTACGTGATAATGTACCAAGTCAGTGTTCAGCATTTAATAAGAGCCAGTTGTACTCATTTTAACATTCTCTACAAATCTCAATATAGAAGTCTCCAAATTTTCCATTGTTCTCAATGATCTATAAACACTTATTACAGCCTATTACTCTGCATCCCATGACTGATTCTTGACTGAGGAAGAAAGATTTAATAAACAGTCCTGCTGTAAAATATCATGTAGAATACAATGGATTCCAAGTAAGGCTTCCTGATGGTCAGCTTTATTGCCATCATATTTCATGCCTGAATGTAATGTGTATATGCAAAGCAAACCAGTTGGTGCGTATCTATCAATATTGTTGGCATCCTTAAACCAAGCTTTACTGGTATCAATGACTGATGCTTGAACAATATGCTGCTGGTATTACATGGCTTAGTGATCTGTGAATTAGTCAATTACATTGATAGGAAACACAAAGAAGTAGTGATAAGCATTCTTGACAGCAGAATTACTGTTAAAATGGATGGCTTTGATGCTAAGTCAATGCCCCCCTCCCCATTAATCTTCCTTCCTCCCTGTAAACATAGATGTTCCCTTGTTCTCTTTTACCTCTTTATATCCTGACAAGGTAAAATCCACAAAGCTCATGTTTCCACTACCCTAGTTTGACCTTCCAGTTAACAGAGAATTTGCATTCCATTTCATAGTAAATTGCAACTAAACCAGGATAGATGGTGGGTGTGAGCTGCATAAATTACAGTGGTGATAGTTTGCATGTTGTCAAGTAGTCTAAATTAACATCATTATCTTTTCTTTGGCCACCTTTCAGTTGCTGTATTTGATATAGGCAATCACTCAAATGATGCTGTATGTTCTCACTGGAAAACAATAAAAAAGGAACAAACCTTTAGTCTCCACAATGGATAGTTGACTTCTGTGTCCTGGCGCATGAAAAACCGTGATGTTTTTGTTGCAGCGTTCAACATATGCTCTGGTGGGAGACCCTGCGTCTGCGAGATGTACCGAATCTAAAATGGAAAACATAGATAAGTGTCTATGTTCTACTTATGCTGCGAGCACTTTGCACACAAATACTGAGTGTCAGAGAAATGAAACAGAGCATTTACATGTGTAACTTCTTGATATGAATAACATTTGCACAAGAGTCTGGCATTTTAGAGAAACTTAAGAGGCACCTGGTCGTATTCACAGGAGCCTGGGTAGAGTGGCCAGCCCAGGAACAGCTCTGCTATCACACAGCCGAGGGACCACATGTCGATGGCTTCACAGAACGGCAGACCCAGGATGATCTCAGGGGCTCTGTAAGAACACAGGAGAAAACAGTCACACATCTACACTAAAATATATGACATGTAAACATCATAAGAGATGTGTTTTCCCAAGGTTTTCTGATAAATTTTCTATTGAAGTTTTTTAGTTAAAACATTGTCTGCAATCAAACCTGTCACAAGACCTTTTGCCAAGGCTATTGCTTGTTACCATGTGAAATAAGTGGGCATGTCTGGTGGGCGTGGATGAATGTCAACATGAATTTTCATTAACATATTCACACTTCGCCGAACACGAATTAAATCTTCCTTGCAAGGGGATCGGAAGTGCGCAGTATGCACAGCTATTCTGTAATCTGTGGAGCTAACCATGCTGGAGACTTG